AGTGTTCCCATTCCACGCGACTTTGTTGCTGATCAATGAGCAGTAGAATTTCCTGGATCCATATTGAGTATGCTTGTTTCTGCATGCGTAGTGGCCCTTAGCTTCTTCAGCAACGGCTCTGAGGGGCACTCGTGTCGCATGCCTTGGTGAAGTCGCAGAACGGTATAGCAATCTGTGTCTTGTTATCATGGTTGTGCTAGGAGGTCATTGCTGCGCGCGTATCAGTAGCAGCGGTTTCAACAGGAATGTCTCGTTGAAAGCCGTGTTGAAAGCGTTGGTCAGATGTTGTGGGTTTCCAAGTGTTGACCAGTATATGACGATAAATTAGCATGTTTCCAGAAGTTTACTGCAGAACACATGTAAGAGACAACTGGACGCGTAGTTTTTGCACATGCTGCTGTCTTCCTTTCTTGTATATACTGGAGTAACGAAAGCATTTTTCCATCGGAGGTAGTTGCGCGCATCATCAAGGGATGGAAAATCGCACTCAATATGGTGCTATGGCTCGTGAGCTGTTTTTTTTCAGAATGCGGCTTGCGGATGGCATCCGGACGACACGGCCTGTGTTGGGTTGATTCGTGCTGAGAAAGCGTTTTTACGCCAGTTTCAGTCTATGGTGATATTCGCCAATAGCATGGTTTCGGTTGCACACTACTTGAATGTTGCCAGGATGTTACTGGTGTTTTCTTGGCGTGAACACAGACTTGAACTGATCGTTCAGGAGATTGAACTTTGAGATCAAAATCTGCATTACAGTTTTTGCAGACGATACTGCCGAAGAGCGTTAATATTCCAAATATTGTCTGCTTTTTGAAGATGTAATGCTATCTTCCAAAATGTTCTTGGGCTATTCTCTTTTGAGACGGAGATTGAGGATTTGGTGCGAGATATACCGAGTGATTGTTTATTAATTTCCGAACGAGTTCGTTGTGTTTTTACCGGAGGTGTGTTGTGCCGCACTGCGGTTTTGATGTATTTTGTGAAAGAGACGTTGCTTTTCTTGGATCGCTTTCTGAATTGCTCCATTCACACCATGGTAGCTATGTTCCCTTTTTATCAGCATTGTGTGGGATGAAATTCTAACTTATGCTAAGCATACCGTCCGCTTGAATTTGCGTCGCAAGTTTGCATTGACGCAACGTTGGTGGAAGCAGGTCGGGCCTCGCAGAAACGCCTGCTGCCAGTTTTGCCGCTTGCTGCTCTAACTTTGTCCCAGTCTGCCTTGATGGTACTGCGGTATTGATCGTTGCTTGGTTTTTCACGACAGGGTTTTAATGTCGGCAGTCTGGTGATAAACCATTCAGTGGTGGTCTCCGACCCATGTTGGGCAAGTTCTGACTGTTTTTTCCCAAGGACGGGTTATTTGTAAAGAAAGATCAAGAATCTCTGTTTTATCTCGTTGGTTCAAAACTGTAGTTGTGCCGAGCGAATGCCTGCTGGTCTTGATATCAAGTATTTCGGGCATAACTCCGGGCTTGCGAGCTCAGATTCCACAGAGTTTGTATGCCAGTCGATGTCGCCAGTTGCTTGAACATCACCGCCTCATAGTGAATGGTTTTAAACCTGGCATCTGGCAGGCAGTTTGGTTTAGAGAGGTGTTGCAGTTCTTCAACTGCGTCGGCGTTTACATCTGGTGCGTGTAAAAGCTGCCTATGACAAGGGACTTAGCTCTTCAAGGAGTTACTTTGACAACCCGCAAAATGATTTCGGGGTCTGAATCGCTTCTGTAAGGTGTTCACTCACAAAGCAGGAGCTTCCATTGCGATAAGACCCGGCCTCCGTGGAGTGTACTGTTTTTTTTCTGTACACCTTATATCTGGTGGAATTTTCTGGCCGTGTGAATTGTGCTGTTGCGTTTTGATCACACCCAAGATAGCAATCTGGTTGGACCGTAATCAACAACTGGCGACAGCAAACTGGGGACTTCTTTTTGCTTTTAATCTACTGCTCGCAATGGAACTACCATGAGTTCCAGTTGTTGCACTTTTCACGTAAGGGTATCTCTAAGAGGGGATCATCATTAGAAGTACTATTTGGCCGGTCTCTCGATCTAGGCGTACAATGGACTGGAGGGTGCCTCGATCGTGGGCGAACTAAGTCACAGATTGGGTTGAAACAAGATCTGCTGAAGCCCACAGAAATGTTTGCTCGCGTGCAGATCCAAGAACACTGAAGGCGGTGTTATAGGCTCAAGTTCATAGCAAATGAAAATGTAAATGATTGCGACATTTTGATTGTTCGGCAACTTGGCCACAATCCACAGAAACGTCGATTTCTCCAAGCACGTATCGTGGCGATGAGCAGTAACTTAACCACGTTTGTGTGGCTACCAAATATCCAATCATCACAGGCAAAATCGCACGCTGGGCGACCAAGTGACTGCGCGCGTCGCAGTACCGCGAAGGGAATATTGAAAACGTTCTTGTGGTCGCTGGGTGTTTAATTCAACGTCCGGCCTCGCCTACCCAAAGAAGTGCCTACAATTAAAACGGCAGCGCTCAAGTGTGTTTAGGATTAAACTTCCTCTGAAAGGGGTAGCGCCCGCGAGAGTGTTTCCTTGAAACACAGACTGCAGGCGATAGGTGTTTGACTGATGATGGAGTTGTGATAACCCAGGCTTTCAAACGTTGCTGACTCGTAGCTGGGAGGACGAGAAGCAGACTTCTAGCTTGCCGGCTGGAACAAATAGGTTAGGCAGTAGGATTGGAGTTTTAAATATATTAAGCAATGTATAAGCAGGGCCGTAGGTGAGAAACAACGACTAATGAATTACTTTATCGTCGGCCGAGCGTGAGGAGGGTTACCATTCAGAATCTCGGTAGATAATTCATATCCGGGAACAGTTCTAAATGTAAGCAACAAGATGGCTGTCCTTGGAGCTGGGATTTCGTATCCTCGTAGTTGAAGAACGGTACAGAGCCTTATAAAATTGTGCGGTCGCGGTAGGCTTTTGACTGTGCGTTAAGATTGTTTAGTTATAGGTGTTTCAACTTTGTAGCTTCATGTGGGCAGATAAACGCCAACGAAAGTAATTACTAAAATTAATTTACTGAGTAATACTATACTTAGTAGTAGTACTAGTACTAGACTTCGTCCCGGCAGCCGCCCCAGTACACACGCAAGACGGAGATAGTAGGCTGTGTTAGTGGTAATATAGCGAATATATAACACTCACAACTGTGCTGAATTTGGCAAGCTGGACTTCTGGTCCAAGTGTAAACAAAGAGGCAGTGTAAGTTTTCGGCGGGAAAATTCTAAAACGAAATGGCTGCCGGTAGTTTTTGCTAAACCCAGCTATAGTTTTTGTAGTACACAGCACTCTACCAAGAAACTATTTATATAGCGTATAGCAATTATTTTACCAGATCGATGAGATACGTAGTCATTTATATTTGTTAGTAGAGATTATTTCATGAAACTATATTGCAACTAATCCTGATATCACCCGACGATCACTCTTCCAAAAAACACGTCATGCACGACCACTGCCAGATGGAAAGTCCTGGGATGCGGTGTGGGTGATGGCTCGCCTGCTGTTTAAAGCTGGCTTGCCAGCGCTTGATTTCTGACCCGCTTATCTGAGGCTATTAGAAGATATCCATACCTAAAACTATTTGGCTTTATCTGTCATATAATAATTTAATATAATAATCTTACAAATTTGAACACTTGTGTATCATCCATAAGGATTCTCTTTCCCAGGTACATGGCTTTCAGGGCCAGGGACAAACTCACGAGTCAAACGACTTGACGAGAAGCTTTAGTTATACTTTAGTTACATAATCACATAGATATATATACCAACCAAATTGGTTGGTATATATATGCTATAATAAATCATAGGATTGGAAATAACTGTTAGGCATATTAACAACGCGACACACACGTAGAAACAAAACACAATGACAGCAAACAGCGAACCACAACGTCATCCCCGTACGCTCTGTCAGGGCGTAGCTACGGGGGGGCCTGGGGACGTGCCCCCCCACACATTTTCTGTGCCCCCCAGGTGCCCCCCCCACTGAAAATAAAATTGAATTAAAAACAATGCCGTTAGAACAGTATAATACAAAGAAAAGATTATATATTTGTGCCCCCCCCCACGAAATGTAAAGCCCCCCCACGCCAGTGCCCCCCCCCCCCGCGCTGAAAAATCCTAGCTACGGCACTGCAGCTCGTGCTTCGTCGACTCGACTCTCAATCTCATCTTAGTTCCACAGCGCTATCGTACAGGCGGAACAAGGCTTATAACTACGCAAATGAATTACAAAATAAAGAAAATATCACAAAACTTATATAATTTCCGATAAGATCTGGATATCTAGCACTATATAATTACGCCTTTCCAGCGATTCGTTGTGTGTGTAAATGCGATCACAGTTCTATTTACATCACAGCTCGTTGCTATACAATCTTGTAGGTGGAATCCTCAAACTATCGTGGCTTTTCAAGTTCGTAGATGGGGCGGGCGCCTTCGTCTTCGTGTTCAAATGTCACAGTTGTCGTAACCGGCTGTAAAAAAATAACCAAGAGCGATATATACCAAGATGATCTAACTAACGTACACTAACATCATGGATGCGTACTTTGCTACGACAAAATTATACAGTACAGAGCACAATTAAATAATAGTATATTGTCCTTGGCGTTACAGTTACAAATACGGTTACATGGCGTGGTTTTCCCAGGTACCACTACACGCGCGTGTATGGTGCATATGAGGCACGCCCGTGTCTGTGCATGAGACCGCACGCGTGTATGTGTGCATGAGAGCACGCGTGTATGTGTGCATGAAGGCACGCGCGCGTCTGTGCATGAGAACGCGCGTGTGTGCATGTGTCACGTGTGTGTGTGTGTGTGTGTGTGTGTGTGTGTGTGTAGGTGTGTGTGTGTGTGTGCGTGCGTGCGTGCGTGCGTGCGTGTGTGTGTGTGCGTGCGCGCGCGTGTGTGTGTGCATGTGTGTTTGTGTGTAATTACTATTTCTAGATTGCCACTACTACCTTGTATAGGTATGTTGCGCTGCAACGCTACTGGCCTCTCCAACCTGCTCGTCGTCCATCGTATCCGCCATCACAGGTACCGACGCTGTGACACCGGCCTCATAACCTGAATTATGCTCGCCGGTACCGGTAGGTGGCGCTGGTGCCTGGTTTCGGTATTTTGGTGCGGGTGGTATCGGTTTATCGGTGACGTATAGCGTAGGTGGCGGATAGATTAAATCCGTGGTTACGGCTTGAGCTTCCGCCGTTTCTTGCGGCGGCAACGCTTGTGGCTGTACGGGATACGAACCCGGCACGAGCTTTATCGGTGGCATTACATACGTACCATTCGCCTACAAGAAAACAAAAGTTTTTATTTTGCATTTAGGAATTGCAGTGAATAAAGCACTCATGTGTAGTTGAGTAACGTATATGCATGGCGCATGTAAATAAAGGTGCGATAGTTGCACGTATCGTATGAAACATACCGTAGCACAGACAGCTGGGCAGCTTGCGTAAATGACTGGCTATATGTATATTGGTCTCAATATCTTCACACCCTGTGTGTATGTTATAGTAGATAAAATATTTGGTATCATTGTTTGGTATTATATAATAAATTTTTGCTACTTCCACATGGTAATACATGGTAAGAACGAGAAAAACACAATATCAGTATAGCGCATGACACGAGAGATAAACAAAATAAAAACGCATTTAAAAGCAAGAGTAAATGACTCTTTAAAAATTCCCCGGCTTAATTTTAAATGTCAAAATAACCCTGTCAAACGTCAATATATCATAGATATATTTATATTTTTCAAGTATTAATCGTAAATAAAGTACATAAGTAAACGTATGAAAGTAAAAAGAAAAACTAAGTAAGTATTGAAAAGTAGAAGTATTGACATCGATATAGCACATGACACCAGAGATAGACGATATAGTGAAATATCTCTAACATGTTTCATAATGCGATAAAATTAAGTTTATTGAAAAATTCTTATTGAGAAATCAGAAAAAAAGGCAAACTCGGTTAGTCCTTATGAAATGATTTTGTTTGTGGTGGGGCTTTGTATCTACAGTGTAAATTATATGATCGAGAAATTATATCAATACAAAACGCTTTCTCTTTGTGAATATACTTGATAAAAAGCACATTGGACGTACAATACAAGGAATGCTTAATGAAAAGAAGCACGTATAAAAATTTGCAATAGCAAAACTATAAACCGAGGTAGCAGTTGCAACTTGCGCCCGACCGTGCGGCAAAACAACGTTAATAAACGTGCGAACAGGTGGTTGGTCCTGTTTCTCGCGAGATAAACCATACGCAGTGGTAAATTCTGCCGTATCGATTCTGAGAGACATCTGTAGAAACCCGTCTGAAATAATTGGCACAGTAAAACTCGTTTAGTTATCGTAAAAATCTAGTTATCGTGAAGATTTCTTCACAGGTCGCATTACGGTATAACGTACATGCAGATGATTGACCTTCATGTTTATTCTTCCTCCCCCGTTCTTCTCCTCCTCCTCCTTCTCCTCCTCCCACTTCTCCTCCTCCCCCTCCTCCTCCTCCTTCTCCTTCATCTTCTTCTTCATCTTCATCTCCCCCTTCGTCCTCTTCGTCTTTCAACCAAGTCTATCCAACGCACCACGCACCTGTCCCCGGCGCTTCTTCCTAAGTTCCTCCATCTTTCGGTACATGACGACTAAGCCAGCGATACTGAGGAGGATGAGCAGACAGCCGATACTGACCATCACCGCTCCCGCGATCATAAGCGACCTGAACATAGAAGGACACAACGTTTGACAAGGGCCCTGCATAGCCACTAACCTCGTAAATATTAATCTTCAACGCCTAAGGGACTATATATCGAAGACGGAATCCTCGGCAACTGTGAGGCTGAAGTTCTATTACGTTAGACTGACTACCATCGATATATATATAAACACAATGACACATAAGGGACATTAGGAATTACAAAATTAAATGGAAAGATAAAAAAAGTAAAATAATTTTTCCCGCGGTGTGATATTAGTGGGTATTATTTGTACAGGATGGCCCATGCATGTAGGCACTACTGAGTGTGTAGTGGTGTTTACAAGGTGTTTCCACTAGGTTGGGTTAAATCTAGAAAGGTTTTAGTTGAACCGGAATCCTGGGTAGTGACTACGGGGTGTAGTTTCACTGGGTTAGGCTAACTCTAGAGCGAGTTTTATTTAAACAAGGGGGGCTGTGTAGTCCCTACGGCATGTAATGGCGCACTTGTGTACGAGTGTTTCGCTAGGTAAGACTGACTCTAGAAGGTTCTTTAATTAAACAGAGCACCTGGGTAGGCACCGCAGGGTGTATAGCTCCACAGCGTTAGTTCCTGCTATATTCTTGAACAAAGGCGTGTTCTTCTGATTTACATGTTTATTTAAGACGACTACACAAAACGGTACACCAACTCCTCGTGGCTACTGAAACACTCTCCATTATCGATTATCGGATCAATAAGACACTTGCAGATATTCTAGTGTATTCTGGGTACTCAACATCAAATACATAACAGTTCCAGAGCTTTCGCGAAAATAGATGACGTCAAGAGCTAATAGTACTTTATTATTAGCACTTGATGACGTAACATAGCAACGAATAGCTAGTAATGAACGACATATGGGGTCTAACTAGTTTTTCATAACTCCGCCTTATTATTAGAATTACATGGACGCTGTCTAATCTAACTTCACGTGTCATAAAGAGGCAACTCATTGACGCTATAAAAGATGACGGCTTGTGGAGTAGGCGAAAGATGGAAATAAAAGCGATGAGAACGAAACATTAGAGCGGCCTCATAAAAGCAAAAGAGAACAGATATAACAGTAAAAAAGTAACGCGGCGAGAGAGAAATACTCGGCACGCAGTTGGAAAAGATTAATATTCAGATTGGCGAGAAACAAAGGATTACGATTCCTACAAACGTACCATCGACGACCGACCATCGACATCGAGTTATCCGATACATTGTAATTAACGTAAGCGCTGTTGCAATAATGCGTCAGCACATGAAACGCTCATATTTCGTCAGTGACTCCGTGATGACGGGTCTACGGCAGTAAATACCTCTGCGACTCGTCCTCGGAGTCATACAAGGCCAACAGCACGGCGCCGACGATGACGCTGACGATGCTGATCAGCAGAACGCAGCCGCCAAATTGCAGCAGACACTTGATGCAGCACGGCGTGTGCTTCCAGATTTGTCCCAGCAGTTTGCAGCAGCCGCAGCACATGTTTCGGGTCTACGAGGCGCTACCTGGTGCAGAGTTCGTCTGCGGCGTTGGAAACAAATGAGCAGACGGTGAAAAGAACATGAAGTATAAGGTTATAAAATGTTACTACGGGATTATGCTGCCTGATTTACCCGAAGCTGTGTTACTATGGTTACCAATGGCTATCAATTGTTAAGGTGAGGGATTTAGGTGGCCGGGACCACTCACAAGAAAGTACAAAATGTAGGGACACGCTGCTAGGCTGGGGTGGTAAACACAGAACCTCTTTTTGTATAATTCCAACGCAAAATAAAGCACAATTTTAATATGAACTTTAAATCAAACACCGGCTTCTTCTACGGATCGCTAAAACGTTGACAAATGTTTCACACCACACGCTCCACACACACACACACACACACACACACACACACACACACACACACACACACACACACACACACACACACACACACACACACAATAGCCGGCGTGTCCGATGCCGCCGCTGACGCTGTCTCCATGACGCTGTAGAGCACGCAGTAGCAGCGGCATTCATTCACATGCGAGCAGATACGACTCCCGCACACCTCGCGTAACGTCTCATGCTCGCGATGCCATCACGTATTCAGCTCTCACTGGCAATACCAGCTTGCTGACTAACAGCTTAATTGCTAATATTAACTAACTGCTGATTGATTTTTTGCTAACTACTAACTGCTGATTGACTCTTTGCTAACTGCTGCCTATATGCTGCCTACTCTTTGCTAACTGCTGCCTATATGCTGCCTACTCTTTGCTAACTGCTGACTATATGCTGGCTTACTCTTTGCTGACTGCTGAGTATATGTCAGCAGGTGACTTGCGGTGTTGCACAAAGGGCGTGCGATGCACGCTTCCAGCGAAACGACTTATCTCCGAAACAAGTCGAGCGACCAACGACTTGAATGGCAGCAAAGAGTGTGTTGAGAAGTCATCTGTGCTCGGTGCGCGCGTGGGGGAGTGGAACGCAATCGGGCACACGTTAGCGGCCGTCTTCGGTGTCAAGTCCAGAGCTAGATTACCACACAATAGACGACGCTACAGCGACTGACAAACACGCACGCAGTCACGGCTGTATATACGCGGAGCTGACTCTACATATCTTGCTTGCTCGTTCCACTTTGCGACTCCTCCGTGTACTAAGGCTGAATATCTCGGTTAAGCCACTTCATTTAATGTAGCTGGTTGCCTGTTCGTTTCACTGAGCGACTCCTCCGTGTACTAAGGCTGAATATCTCGGTTAAGCCACTTCATTTAATGTAGCTGGTTGC